CACACACACACACACACACACACACACACACACACACACACACACACGCGCGCGCGCGCACACATACAGTCACACACACACACAGGCTCGCAAATACAGAATCATCTGGCTGAAGTGCTGACACATGGACTTATCAGCACTTGAGCGTCTCTCTCTCTCTCTCTCTCTCTCTCTCTCTCTCTGTGTGTGTGTGTGTGTGTGTGTGTGTGTGTGTGTGTGTGTGTGTGTGTCTGTGTGTGTCTGTGTGTGTCTGTGTGTGTGTGTGTGTGTACGTGTTCGTGTTCGTGTACTTGAGCGTGCGTGCGTTCACCTATCCACCCCAAATACCGACCTCTCTCTCGGCCGACCTTGTATACGAACAACGAACATCTGAGCTCGTTCAGTCACGGGTAGTCGACTTCACCGCTACGCGGGCGAAGATGGGTCACAACGAGCAACCGTTACACTGGGTGCGACGACGGCTGCCAAAGATAGCTTAATTAAGCAACGATCTACCACCCATTTTTCTCATGTGCTAAGGGGATGGTCTCACTGAGCTTGTGCGACGACGGAACTGCTTGTTGCAGGAAATTTTTCAATACAAAAATCGATCGATCTTTCAACACCTGTTTTTTCTCGCTCCAAAAATCGAGCGAGTCATGTGTTCAGCTGCTTCTTGCTGGGAAGTCCTTCACAGATGCCCAGGCATCTTTCGATAAAGGAACACAAGCTCAGTGAGACCATCCCCTTACTACTTGTCGTCATCGACCCTTCGAGAATGCTCGCAACACAAAAGCCCATCCTTTGGTCGATGGACTGACGAATTCCGCTTCCAGTTACTCAACCAGTTCTCTCCCTTGTTGTCGTCATCGACCCATTGATTCATCGATCTTAGATCGTTCCTACCTTCTTCCCGCGAATGCAACGTACGGTCATTACTGCAGTATTTGACACATCTTTCAGTCTAGATACAGCTACAATGACCGTACGTTGTATTCGGGGGAAGAAGGTAGGCTTATTTCCTGGCAGATAAATAGCTAGATTGCTTGGTCTAGTCACATAATGATATCTTCAACCACAGCTGAACTGATTAATTGATCCATTCAATGAAAAGCTTAATCATTTGCTCGACTCCTTGCTTGAACGCTGGCTTGATTAATTGGTCGAGTACATGATCGAATCTTCTGTCAAGTAAAATCGCTTGCTTGATTGCTTGATTGATTGATTGATTGATTGATTGATTGATTGCGTGTTTGATTGACTGCTTGATTGATTGTTTGATTAGCTGGCTGATTCCAAGATCGAGGCTTATGTCAATTAAAAGTGCTTCCTGCATGATTGGTCGAGCAATGTTTGTGTGATTGACTAGATGCCTGCCTGTATGATCAAATGCTTTGTCAATTTCATGACTGATTCGTTGATTGACCATTTGATGTACCCAACTTCATGATTGATTCCGTCATTGATCGCCTGGGCGTAGAGTGAAATCGCTTCCTTCGTCCTTCCAGTTCAATAAGATGCCGCGGCGTGGTGGTTTGAGGAAGCAACGGTATAAGCCGAGGTCAATCTCGACCTATTCAACTACGTTTTCAAATACGTAAAATACAACTGGTACCCAGAAAAACGTTATGTTGAACACTCCTTTCTGATGCATGAATTGATCGAGCTCGATCTCGATCGACCGATCGAACACGTTTTCAAATACGTAAAATACAACTGGTACCCAGAAAAACGTTTTGTTGAGGCGACCGATCGAGCACGTTCCATGTGAGGGCAAAGTTTTTAAATATGTAAAATACAACACGAGAGCAGAAGGAACGCCGACAAAGAAAACTGGTACCCAGAAAACGTTTTTGTTGAGGCCAAAGGATTAAAAAAGAGCAAGAAAGGCACAGAGTGAAAAAAAACACAAAGTGGAAAGCGGGGGGCTCAGAAAAAGTGAAATAGGCAGATGATGACATCTGAGTCTGACGAAAAACAAAAGCAAAAAAAAAAAGGAAAAGACAAAAGGAAAAAGAAAGGGAAAAAAAAAAAAAAACAGAAGAAAGAGACAGATGGACTCCGTTCCGACAACCCCTACCGTCTTCCCCCGAACACAACACACCCTCATTTCCGATGTACCTGACCGCAAAATATAGCTTGCATACGTTCAATTTCAGGGTGCGTTATGTTCGGGGGAAGACGGTAGTCACCTGGGTAGTACTCCCAGTCAGACGGCCCCACATCACGGAGCGGCCAGCTCATGACGGAAGTTATCACCACATCGTCATCATCACCCTCATTCTCGACATTATCCACACCATCATCTCCCGCCATGACTGAAACGCCAGTCGATGACAACCCTACACCATCGGCTGCCTCCCTCCCCAGCTCGCCCACATCTACTACTTCATTTCCCATAAGCAGCCCCCCTCTTCCCCGTCCTCCTCCACCTCCTCCTTCACCATGCAACCGTCTCCGCCATCCATATTGCGGCACCCTATCCCTCACCACGTCAGCCACTCCTTCCTCCTCCCTGTCGCGCACTCCTTCCTCCTCCCTGTCGCGCACTCCTCCCTCCTCCATGTCGCGCACTCCTCCCTCCTCCCTGCTGTCGCTCACTCCTCCCTCCTCCCTGCTGTCGCGCACTCCTCCCTCCTCCCTCCTGTCGCGCACTCCTCCCTCCTCCCTGCTGTCGCGCACTCCTCCCTCCTCCCTGTCGCGCATACCCCCGCTTACATCACCCACATCTCCTCCCACGCCCGGTAGTAACATGACGTCAAACATCGCAGTCTGCCCCTCCTCCTCATAGGAGTCCACATTCCCACCTCCGCTAAATCTCCCCTCGCGAGGTGGGACCCACGCATCAGCGTCCACGGATTGGACAGGCTTTTCCCGCCGCTTCGTCTCATCAAGCGACGATGAGACGCTCCCTCCATGTTGCACGAGAGAAGCGGCCGTCACGAAAGATGCAGCAGGGAGCAAGAAGCGCGATCCGAAGATCGTCACACACATGATCAGCGACGCCGCACACCTCGCGGCAATCAACCTGTCACGGCGCCGCCCGCTTCGATAAGCTCGTGACAGCGGGGCCATCTCCAAAGCCCTTCAGATTCCCAGGATTACAATTGTCCCTCCCCGTGGCCGGCGGATCTGCTCCCGGCCTCCCCTACTGACACGTGTCTCCGCGCCCCTTAGCGCCAAGTCTTCGCCACCGTACGATCCGGGGCATTTCGCCCCACGCGTTCCCACCTGTACGACCCCCACCTGTACGGCCCCCTCCCCCTATCAATCACCACCACGCCGAGAGCCTCCACCTCTCGAAACTCACGACGACGAGTGCATATCAATGGCGACCAACATGCCGGCGCGTCGACACCGATCGCCCGTTGATCGCCTGGTCCATCCAGACCTGCTGGTTCGGTTCCGCGCGTGCACCGAGTGGTCTCCATGAAACCTACCTCCGGCTCCTTCTGTTCATCTGGTTGCACTCGAGTTCGAACTTCGGTCTGTATTTCAACAGTTCATGGGTGCGCACCAACTGAGCTAGGCCCGTTGGTCCCTGTGGGTCTCGTTGAGTTCAGAACAAAGCGCGCAAGTCCTTTCGGAAACCTCATTGGAACGATACGGGAAAGTTCAGAACAAAGCGCGGGAAGTCCTTTCGGTCCCTCAGGCCTTGTGGCGAAGACATTGGTCTCGCAGTGCTCTTCTGCTGTCTGTCCCTGGGCTGAAGCGGAACTTTTTGGGGGATGTGTGTGTG